ATAGCTGTGATACTGACTTGGTGGCTCTTTTTTTAAATTTTTTTTTTATTATTGCTTACTTTCATATGTGTCTTCCACTTTGGAAAAACCTTTCAACGTGCCAAAAGTAAAGCATTATAAGCAAAATTTTCGGAATGAGTGGCTCGGCTGCAAAATGTCAAAATTAAAGACTGTGGGATGGCAGTTCATGGGTGTACGACTAAGGCTTGTTGTAAGTACTGCGAGTGTGAAATTAAAGCGAAAATACATGACATCAAGAGTAAAATTGCAGTTCCATCGGTTTTCAGAACTAAACTAATTAATTAATCATCAAAAGTTGAAGGATCTGTCGCAATGTTTTTAATTTGTGCAATTTCGAACTGTGACCATTTGATTGATTTGTTTAAAAACACTATTTCTGACAGTAAAGTTACTTATGACGTAAAAATGCATCGCAGCAAGTGTACACATATTATAAGAAATGGTTCGGGGGCCCCATTGTGAGGAAAACAAGAATAGACCCACTGCTTCCCCAAAAGCATGTCGTAAGAGTCGACTAATTGGGGAGCTTCCTTTGAAGTCGGAGTGCATCTGCCGGAGATGCAAGGAACCAACAGTCTGTATTCAAGAGAATGAGATCTGTAAAACTGATGCACACGCAACACTCAGGTTCTGGAGCAGGACTGCAGTTCAGTAGTGGACGATCAACCAGAACTTTCCGCCAGAGTGTACAGCTGGTGAAGAAGAAGAAAAAGATGGGAAATACTTTATTTTCTTACTTTGAACAAGATTTGATCTGTAATATTTCTACAAATAAATATAGTTTATTATTAGATGAACTAAATGACATTTCTATACTTAAAGTGCTTGGTATGTGTATTATATATCACAGCAACAGTAAAGACAAAGTAATTTCTACATATCTTGGACTAGTTCAAATGGAAAAGTGTGATGCAGAAAGTATATTTCGGGAACTAAAGAAACTTTTGTTCAGCAAACAATTAAACTCGAATAATTTGGCTGCGATTGGTACCTATAATGCCTCGGTAATGCTTGGTATCAACCATGACGTTTATGCTAAAATAAAGGAAGATATCCCATCATTAATCCATATAAAATGTGTGTCATTCCTTACAGCTAGTATTATCACATGCTTCATCTGAATGTTTACCACGAAATTTGGAACACCTTTTTGCTGAAATATATAACTGGTTTTCCAAATCATCTGTCAGACAACAGCAATACAATAACTTTTATAAAGCATTAAATGATGGTTTCGAACCACTGAAAATTCTGTCAGATTGAAAAACTAGATGATTATCAATTCAATCAGCTGTTGAAAGAATTGTAAACCAATGGTTGGAGTTAAAGACGCACTTTGAAACAACAAAACAAAGTGAAAAGTGCAACACAGCTGAAATACTATATGGAATGTACAGTAATGAAACAAAAAATGTGGCATTCCTTCTCGTTTTATCTGTTTACAACCTATTCTAATGGAAGTGCAAAAATTTAATAAACTGTTCGAATCTAAACATGTTGTTAAAGTTAAATTGCTTGACGATCTCACTTTGCTTAGTTGGTAAAAGACTGGTGTTGCCAAATTCTAAAGCTGATTTGCTCGCTTGCACTTTAGAGAGCTATTTGGCTCCTAAGCCAGACATTGAATATCAAATCGAATCAAACATTGAAGATTTAAAAAACAAAAGAACTATTAACAGAAAGTGAAGAGAACAACTGAAGAAAGCGCTGTCAAGATTTCATTATTCAAGCAATTGAAGCAGAGACTTCCTGAAAATCTAGATGTATTGAAAATTTTTTCACTCTTTTCTGTGAACAACATACTTTAGCCAGTAAAGGACATACCTAAATATTGTAAAGTTTTGAAATTTTTAGGGACTACTGATAATTGTGTAGCGGAAACAGAATATGAATTAACCCAAATAAACTTGGTTGACTGGACAAACAAATCAGAAACTGAAGCGCTTTGGAGTGAAGTAAGACAATTTAAATATGCATGAGGAATCAGTCCATTCTATAAGCTCTTTGAATGTGCAATGTCTGTCATGATACTACCCCATTCAAATGCTGACGTAGAAAGAGTTTTTTAGTGCTATGAATTATATCAAATTTAACCTAAGAAATAGGATGACACTTGACCTCTTAAATGCTATCTTGTCTATAAAATTGGCCTGATGAGAATAGGAAAATGCTGTTGAACTTATTAGCTCCCTGATTGTGTATTTAAACGAAACTGGAACAGCTAAAGCATACCAGTCATTTTGGATCTGAAACTTAAACTTCATATCCAAGCTAAGTTTATCCAGTGGTCTTGTGAGACAGACATCATTGAAGATAAGGACATAATTATTTAGGGTGTCATATCAATAGGTATGTAATTTCTGACTTTCATTTTGATATTTTTTTTCCCTAGATGTTCCCTAGATATTTATAGATGTTTTTGACCTAGTTCTAGATGTTTTCTATTAGGAAAAGTGGCAACAGTGGTGCGTCCGTCGGGAAGCCGGCGTCTTTAATAGATAAACATCCACAGAAGGGCTTTCCACCGAGGCAGTTTGTTTGTTTTTCTTACTTAGGGATGTAAAGTCGACCACTAATGTAACAGTCAACAGTGAGTGCAGCTGTATTGTTACAACTAAAGGTATAGTCAGTGTTATTTTCAGCACTGTAATTAAATAATAAATTCGGTTTTCTTTCAACGGTATCCATTAGTAATATATAAATTACATATAATAATGATAATATATAATAATATTGTTATTGAAGTTTTAATTAATTTTTACTAAATTATATATAAACAGCATTGTCATTACAATAATTAATATGATATAGTTAGTAAATAGTTGTTTCATTTGTGTAAATCGTTACATAATAAATAATTCTTTTTAATTAATTAACTGTTGATAAATGATCACTGAACTAGATAGATTGATTTAGAGGAGAAGAAAACGATTGTTGATCATGTAAACTCAAAGAGCTAACCAAATTAAAAACTAAAAACCAAACTTGCACAACAATTGCAGGTTTATAATTACATCTCGTACGTAGTTATAAACATTATTTCAAACTTAATACTACATTTGAAATGTAAAGTGGAAAACAGAGGGGTTCGGCCTCTTCTAGCTATGTAACTTAGAGTCCTAAGAGCAAGTGGTAGAGGTGTTGAGAGCAGCAGTTTGGTATTTGTTGGTTACTAAGGCAACTTTCCTATGGTGGTAGAGAATCACAATAGCTAAGACCAGTTTATGACTGCCAGGAAATGAAGCAATGGCAAACTGCCATGCCATGAAAACAAATGGTGGGGTAGCCAGTAGCCTTTATTATTGGCTTTCCTTCATAGACGGTTGTGAGAAAATATGAACATTATCTGGTACCTATTTGTACAAGCCTGATTTGACCCCGGTGATATAATTTTTAAAAATCCTGCTACTTCTGAGGATGGAACCTGAACTACTGTATCAATGGAACCTGAACTACTGTCTCAGTGGAACCTGAACTACTGTCTCAGTGGAACCTGAACTACTGTCTCAATGTAACCTGAACTACTGTCTCAGTGGAACCTGAACTACTGTCTCAATGGAACCTGAACTACTGTCTCTGTGGAACCTGAACTACTGTCTCAGTGGAACCTGAACTACTGCCTCAGTGGAACCTGAACTACTGTCTCAGTGGAACTGTAACTACTGTCTCAGTGGAACCTGAACTACTGCCTCAGTGGAACCTCAACTGATGTCTCAATGGAACCTGAACTGCTGTCTCAATGGAACCTGAACTACTGTCTCAGTGGAACCTGAACTACTGTCTCAGTGGAACCTGAACTACTGTCTCAATGGAACCTGAACTACTGTCTCAATGGAACCTGAACTACTGTCTCAGTAAAACCTGAACTACTGTCTCAATGGAACCTGAACTACTGTCTCAGTGGAACCTGAACTACTGTCTCAGTGGAACCTGAACTACTGTCTCAGTGGAACCTCAACTACTGTCTCAGTGGAACCTGAACTACTGTCTCTGTGGAACCTGAACTACTGTCTCAGTGGAACCTGAACTACTGCCTCAGTGGAACCTGAACTACTGTCTCAGTGGAACTGTAACTACTGTCTCAGTGGAACTGTAACTACTGTCTCAGTGGAACCTGAACTACTGCCTTAGTGGAACCTCAACTGATGTCTCAATGGAACCTGAACTGCTGTCTCAATGGAACCTGAACTACTGTCTCAATGGAACCTGAACTACTGCCTCAGTGGAACCTGAACTACTGTCTCAGTGGAACCTCAACTGATGTCTCAATGGAACCTGAACTACTGTCTCAGTGGAACCTGAACTACTGTCTCAATGGAACCTGAACTACTGTCTCAGTGGAACCTAAACTACTGTCTCAGTGGAACCTGAACTACTGCCTCAGTGGAACCTGAACTACTGTCTCAATGGAACCTAAACTACTGTCTCAGTGGAACCTAAACTACTGTCTCAATGGAACCTGAACTACTGTCTCAGTGGAACCTGAACTACTGTCTCAGTGGAACCTGAACTACTGCCTCGGTGGAACCTGAACTACTGCCTCAGTGGAACCTCAACTGATGTCTCAATGGAACCTGAACTACAGTTTCAGTGGAACCTAAACTACTGAATGTTGAATGTTGAATTGAGAAATGACATCATAGCACTTGGGACACTCCCATAAGCACTCTGTCTCCATCTTCAGCAGCAAACGAAGAAGACATATATGTATGTATGTGTCTGTATATATGTATATGTGTGTGTATATGCATATGCAGAGCTGTTTTGTTTCCTCAATATGCAATGGTAGGCAGCGACTGCCTGTTCTTAAGGCATCATTTTGTTCAGCACTATTGTAATAGACAATTTGTGGTGCATACCGGCACACCCCCCCCCCCCCTCCCCTAATGTGTGTGTGTAAATATATACATATATTTAAACATGTGATTTGGTTGTATCCCAGGCTTTGCTCTTTGACAGGGCCAGCCTTCTGCTTGATAATGTCGTGGTTGAATTTTGAGGAAAATGGCATCACCGAGAAGTGCCTGAAAACACCTGCATCGTCCTCGTCATCATCATCATCATCATACATCCTGGATCATGTCCAAAGAGACTCATATCATCTGTTGGACATTGAGATAGATGAACATGCAGTTAAGGCATGTAAGACCGGGCTGTGTTATCAGGACACCACAGAGCTGGCACTGCTGAAGTACCATGAGCTTCCAGATTTCATGAAAGGCAACCCTTATGTTGTTCAGGGTTACAGAACCATGCTTCCCTTCTCCATGTGTCTCAGAAGGTAATATATTGTTTGAAGAAAGTTAGTCTTTTTATGCTTTTGTTCTTACATCATCATTGTGTGCCCTGCCCAGCCGCATAGGCACTCATGACTCTTCATAGATCTCAGTCCCTGATATTTTGAATCAGTTCCACTAGTGATATTCCACCATGCCATCACTTCAGGCTATCAAGCATTGTCTCTTTTGGTCTGCCTCTGCCTTTTCTACCATTGATCTTTCTAGTAATCATGATGTTCACCAATGCCTCTCTACTGATCACATGATCGAAGAACACTAATGGCCTCTTTCTTATAGTTGTATTTATAAAGTTATTTGCATTTCAGGATGTACAGAACCAACCCTAGCGTTTTTGTTTGTTTTGGTGTTTGTGATTTCAGTAGTCAATTTTATTTTCAGTATTTTGCCATTCCTTTCTAAATGGCTGGCTCTCAATGCCATGGTCAAACCCAGTGTAAGGCGGTCTGCTGCCAAAATTCCACAGCTAGGATCGAATCCGGCACCTTGGAATTACGAAGCGCATTTGCAACGCCTAAGCCACAGGTGCTGACATTGTTGAATATAGTTAAATATAGTTATCTGATTTCATTGGCCGTTTCCAGGCAATCATTGTTAGACACTATCTGCAGGCTGCATCTCAAAAACGACATATCCTCATTGTAAAGGGGGCGGGGGGTTTCCCCGGTCTGATGGGCCTGGGTGGGTGTCTTTTGCTGTGGGCCGGGATCCATTGGAGAACAATTTGATTGTTTTCTGAAAGGTATATGGCTGGCAAGTCACTTTTCTATCCATGTTGACTCAAGGATCTCTTCGAGTGACCTGGAGGACTGACATGCAGTCACACAGGACAGCAATGTTGCTGTCTTTTATTTCCTTTATGTGTGAAATCTGGACCACAAAGTTATGTTTGCACCACCAACTACACTGAGACAAGATTTTATCAATGCACATGAAGAAAAACAGTGATCAAGTGATACTGAGATCACATTGTAGTATTTCTGTCTTTTTTCCTCTCTTTTTCTGACAAGACTGTTGGTTGTGTTATGTCTGTTAAAAGTGAGTCTGCAGTATTAATTTACAGTAAATTTGCACATATCATTTATAATGAATCTGTAGTATTCATTTATAGTGCATCTACACAGTTCATTTACTGTAATCTTCTTAGCGTTCACTAGCTATAACTCCGGCAGAAAGTTTTGGTTGTTTGTTCACTTCTGGCCTCCATCTTGTCCCAGAACTTCGATTTTTGTATGCACATCCATTTTACAGATGGCTTATTTGTGTGCAGACTGTTGGTTTTTCGCCTCTCTGGCAGCTGCAGTCTGACTTTGAATAAAACACTGAATTAGTTTATTTTTAAGACATGCTTGGTTAGGGAGGGCAGTGGGTCTATCCCTCCCTCACTAGGATGTGGAACCGATAATAATGATATAGTGTCATAAGAACAGGAAAACTGGAGTATGCTGTAACAGTGAGAAAGTTGGATGTGACGAGAGATAGAGGAAACAGTGGGAAAGTTAGATGGGAAGAGAGGTGGTGGAAAATTGGAGTATACTTTAACAGTGGGAAAGTTAGATGGGAAGAGAGGTGGAGGAAAATTGGAGTATACTTTTACAGCGGGAAAGTTAGATAGGAAGAGAGGTGGAGGAAAATTGGAATATACTTTAACAGCGGGAAAGTTAGATGGGAAGAGAGGTGGAGACAAAAAGTTGGATATTTGACAAAGCACGGAAGAACATCAGTGTCAGAAATGATTGACACTACACAAGACAAAAAGCTGGGTACAGTCGTGATTACCAGTGCCACGCAGCTTGGACTAATAAACAGTTGTAAGCAGAGATTCCTACAGTTAAATGATTGTTTAAAACCATGTTTTATTGTTACTCTGCAGCCTGCTGTTGTGGACGAATGAGACAGTAAATATCTGGTCACATTTCCTGGGTTTCTACATCTTCTTGTTGATAGCATTGTATGATAACTTGGTTGTTCTGCCTCAAATTGAGGGATCATTTTCAGACCACATCATACTCACACTAGGACTGGCATGTTATATGGTAAGATATTCACGCAATTAATCCTTTTTTATGTGTTTGTAATAAGACAAAGAAAGTGGAGATATATTGGGCACACTGTGAGACGAAATGAGCGAAGAATTACAAAATAAGCACTGAAAGGGGAAACCAGCGGGCTGAGAACATGTGGACGTCCAGGGGAACATTATTACGAGAGGCTAACAATGCTGGGCTGATATTGTTTGGCACGCACGCACGCGCGCACGAGTAAAAATCATTGTGGTGACAATAAGACCTGATTATATTTGTTATGATATATAAACATCTTTGTGGTGACAATAAGACCTGATTATATTTGTTAGGACTCGTAAAAATCTTTGTAGTGACAAAGAAAGAAAATGATCAATATTATGTTCGTCTAAACTCATTCTTTGGTTAAATGTCTTTCTCTCTCTCTCTCCATCTCCCTCTCTCTCTCTCTCTCTCTCTCTCTCTCTCTCTCTCTCTCTCTCTCTCTCTCTCTCTCTCTCTCTCTCTCTCTCTCTGTGTGTGTGTGTGTGCACACACACACACACACAGAGAGAGAGAGACATTTAACCAAAGAATGAGTTTAGACGAACATAATATTGATCATTTTCTTTCTTTGTCACCACAAAGATTTTTACGAGTCCTAAAAAATATAATAGGGAAGGTCTTATTTCCACACCATAAGGTGTAATGGGCACATGATGTTAGCCCAATATTTGTAAAGCCAACCAGCATTCTGTGGATGAATCTGTCAAATCCTGCAGGTCACCTTTACTTCACAGACTATTTTATTGAACAATGGTAATATCACTACCCAAGGGAAAGGCAAGACAGATATACAGTCAGACTGTTACTGGTGCCATTGGAATTCTGTGTTTGCTGCTAAAGATGGGGACAGAGTTGATTGAGCACTTCCAGGAACGTCCTGAGTGCTGTGATGTTGATTCTTAGTTTAGCAATCAGCTTATCATGTTTTGTGTTGTGTTCACAGTTTTGTATGCTGTGCTCAGCTGGTTTTCATACCTTTTGCTGCCATTCTGAGAAAGCAAGTCGGCGATGGTTGGCTGTAGATATGACCGGTGTGTCTATGGGAATCATCGGGTGTTATCTGCCTTCTGTGCATTATGCCTTTTATTGTCAGTCTGTGAGTATATTTGTCAAGCAAAACCTCATTAGTATGATTCATTTAAGAACACTTTGTTACCCTAAAAAAAAAAATGTTGGTCCCAGCAGGGATGTATTATTATTAATCCCTGGTTGGTACAGAGTATGCTTGTGTGAAAGGCAGTGAGAGAGCAGACACTCTAAGAGTGCAACTGTCTGTCAGGAATGGGCCCTCTATAGACACGAGAGACATCATCAAAGCCATATGAGAGACTAAATGCTGTGAGACCTGACACCACAGATTGAAAAACATAGGTTTAGAATATGTGAATACCTAACACTTCATTCACACCCCACTGGGAATATTTTAACCCTTTATAATTCTCTAGGACTGTTTTTACCATTTAATATTCCATGAAACTATTTTTACCCTTTATTATATGTTGGGACTTCTTACCCTTTATTATTTGATAGGACTGCATTTACCTTTTGTTATTCTATGGGTCTGATTTTATCCTTGATTATGTGATGGGACTGTTTTTTATTATTTAATATTTGATGGGTCTGTTTTTACCATTTATTATTTTATAGGACTGCTTTTACCCTTTATTATTCTCTGGTCTGTTTTAACCCTTTATTATTTGATGGGACTTTTTATCCTTTATTATATGATTGGACTGGTTTTTTTTAAACCCTTTATTGTCCCTTTATTATTTGATGGGATTGCATTTACCCTTTATTATTTGATGGGACTTTTTATCCTTTATTATATGACTCCGACTCTACAAGAGCATCATTTTGCCAGTTCTTCTTTATGGAGTGGAATGCTGGAGAATGACCAAAAAGCTTGCACACAAGCTGTCCACCTTCCACCACACATGTCTACGTAGAATTATCAAAATTTCTGGCCAGATACAATCTCAAACACTAAACTACTTCAAGCCACAAACCAAGAAACTTTAGACAGTATGATTACCAAGAGAAGATGGAAATGGCTTGGCCACGTTATGAGAATGACTTCTGATATAACTGCCAATACAGCTCTCACATGGACACCAAAGGGAAAGAGAAAACAGAGGCGCCCAAAAACAACATGGAGACGAACGATGGAAAGTGACCTGAGTGCGGCATCTTTGACATGGAAAACTGCACTGAAGATTGCACAGGACAGGAAAGCATGGAAAGTCCTCTCTGAAGCCTCATGTGCCACTAGGCATAACGAGAACTGATGATGACTGATAATATGATAAGACTGTTTTTTTTCACCCTTTATTGTAGGATGGGGTTGTTTTTACCCTGTTCAGCCTCAAAAGTTTGCCTCCAAGGGCCTCTGGGCTTGTCTCTTCCTCGCCGTCCTTGTAATGCCCATTGCACTACCTGTCTCGGCCGGCTCTCTCTCTTCATTCTGTGGATGTGTCCAATCCACCTTCATTTCGTTTTTTTAAATTTCTAAATTTACATCTTCCAAGTCTATCATTTGTTGCAATCTAGATTTGCTGATGTTATCTTCTCATGTGAACCTCAACAATCTTCGAGAAGTCTTCCTTCAAAACCTCTGAGCATTCTCTCTCTCTATCTTTTTGTCTGTTTTTGAAGTTTCTGCTCCATTGTAACCTATGTTTTGTATATCCTGAGTTTAGTTTTAGTGCTGTAGATGTTTTATCTCCAGACACTCTGAACAGTCTGTTATGAGCAGCATATTTTTTCTGTGGGGCTGTTTCCAACCTTTATTATTTTGTTGGAATGTTTTTACCCTTTATTATTCCATGGGATGCTTTACCCTTTTTTATTCTAATAAAATGTGATGTCTTCATGTTTCAGATGTGGAGAAATATATACCTTCTCATCATCACAGTTTTATCAGTATGTGCCCTGGTCTTTCAACTCCACCCTCGATTCTTCACCCATGGCTGGTTTTACATCCGTGTGGCTATTTACGTAGCTTTAAGTGCTTACGGGGTTGTTCCCACAATTCACTGGGTTTACCTCAGTGGTGGAATCTCCACAACAATTGTACAGGTTAGTATGTTACTTCTCCAGCTTATTATAGGTATAGGCCTCAGATTTGTATGAATGTAGTTCATTAATTGACCTGTACAAATTGTTTCATTTTTGTTCAGCTTTTCAGCATAGAGGTTAACAGTTCCATGATCCTTGGGTACTAGGGTTCAAAAAATTATTATCATGGTTTTCAGACAATAGTGTGAGAGTCACACCCTGGAAGAGATTGGAGCCAGAGCCTGTAATATTCCCCAAGAGATCAATGGCACACTGTAGCCAACCTTCATCGTGGAGACAGCACAGACGTTTGTTTTTCCTCAAGTCACTAACATATGTTTTTAAATATTTGTATTTAAAAGTTGACTAATTGGGGCCTTCCCTCAAAGTCCGAGTGAGTCTGCCTAAGTGGCAAGGAACAACCAGCTGCACACAAGTAAGCCAGTAAAATGGATGTACACGTAAAACTTAGGTTGCACAAAATGATGTCATAGTGACTTAAAATAAGGAAAGGGGGGGAGGGGGGATTTTTCACCCAAAAAACACTTCCCTCAGTCCTTACCCGCACAGGAATGCAGATTAGATTGGGCTGGTGCAGCCATTATGGGCGCCCTGAGTACAAGGTATCTGGACTTTGGACTCAACTGTGTCAGACCTTCATCCTGTTAGTCTGTCATCCAGATTTAGATCTTCTGATCTCAGGGTGTCACATGTGTCAGGTAGCAATGGAGGGGATAACTGGCATGCACACTCTCAGAAAAACCCTCCAAATCCTTAATGAAAAAAAATGAAATAATTATGTTAAATAAAGAATTGACATCATAGCACTCAAGACACTCCCATAAGTGCTCCTTCCCCATCCTCAGCAGCGAGTGAAGAGTTCCAGTTCCGATGGTACTAGTAACTTCTGATTGTATATCCGTCTCGCCCTTCCCCTGAGTGTTGAGCATCTGCCAGATCCCCTGGTACCTCCTCACAGCGCCATTCTCCTTAGACTAGTTATCTATGGTACCTCCGCACTGTTCACTCGCTCCCAAAGGGACACTCACAATATCTCTAAACAAAGTGGTGCAGAGCCGGCCAGTCTATCTGCATGCTCATTTCCTAACACACCAGCATGACCTGGAGAAAATATCCACAGGACGCTATCTACCTGGAAACTCAGAAATGGAAAATCTGATATACTGCATGGAGCATGCCCGGGTGAGAGGTCAGCAAGCATGAATGAACTGCCAGTCACAATTTGTTAAGGCAAAAAATGTTTCCACAATTTTAACATCATATAGTGTCAAAGTGTTCAGAGGACAGTTTAATACACCCATCTAATTAGAGTTGCTCATACAGATTTCCTACAGTCATTATAAAATTGATGTGTTCTTGTTACAGATGTTTTTACCCAAGGTAATAATGATGTACCTGTTGGGAGCTTTGGCTTTTTCCTTTTATATATCAAAACTGCCGGAGAGAGCATGTCCAGGTAATTATGTTAGAATTATTGTATTGAGACACAGCTGCTTCTCAGAGGTTAGTGAACATGTTTTACAGTCCTTGACATACCTGGGCTGTTTCTGCGGCAGGTGGTTAAAAAGAAAAAAGACCGGTCTCATGGCTGTAGGAACGGTTGTACAAGAATTACATCATGGAGAAGATTGGAGCCTCACTGCATAATATTCCCCTCCCACCAAAAAGCAGCAGTGGGTGCAAATATCCATTACGTCCATTCCCCCACTCCCCACTGTCCTATTTTTTTCTTTTTCAAGTATCAATTTTAAGGTAGGCAAAGAAAGTGGTGATATATTGGGAACAACCTGAAGCAAAGTGGAGACAGAATCACAGGCATTGAAATAGGAAAGAAATGGTTTCATGTAGCATGGACATGCAAAAAAAACCTCAATGACTGATGTTGATGAGAATGGCCAAGGGTTCCAGACAGGATTACATCTGTGATACTGAAAAGATAACACAAGATAGCAACACAGTGGAGAAGCTGACTTGTTCCCCTTCTCATTTGGTTTGGTATCTCATGGCTCTCCGTGTGGGTTTTGGGGGTCCCACTGTGGGGAAAACCAGAATAGATGCACTACCTCCCCATCAAGCATGTCATAGGAGTCGACTAATTGGGGGCTTTCTTTGAAATCGGAGTACATCTGCCCTAGGGGCAAGGAACACCAGCTGCATGCACACAAATAAGCCAATAAAATCTGATGTAGACGCAAACAGGCCCTGACAGAAGCCAAAGTCCAAATAGATGAACACCCAGGACTTTCTGCCGGAGCTTATAGCCAGTGAACAAAGAAAAAGAAGTTATCTCATAGTAGAGCACAACAAAGGAATAGACTGTGAGCCCTACATGCAGGGCTGTATTTAGGCTATGTGCAACATGTGTAGCAAAACATCAGAGGTAGCACAGTTCAGAGAGTGGCAAAATATAACTTCCTCTGCCTTCTTTCCCCCAGTGGAGCATACGCCCTCAACCATCTCATGCCAGGTCGTTCTTTCCTTCGCTATTGCATGCAGCTCTCCTCATCTTCACTCTTTAGCTTAATCTCTATGTATTTTTTGGTCTTCCTTTATTTTGTTGCCCCTGTGGATTTCATTGTAAAGTTCTTGCACCCCAGATGCCCATTTTGGAGATTTTTCTAGGTGAAAAGAGGAATGTCGATGATCCGGACTCCTTTTGACTTTCTCAGCACTTGTCATCATTCTTCTATTAGAAAAGTCTTCCCTCATCTTGGTTGGCTGGGGTTTTCTTGTTTCTCATTTTGACTTTTCCATGGTTGGTTGGTTGGTTTTTGTGGCTAATATTTTTACCTCATGAGGTAGCCAACCTCAAGCCCAACCCTACCCATAGTTGCCTCTTACGACATGCCTGCTAGGGTACAGTATTACTATTCTTTGCCGTGAGGACCTCAGTAACACACAGGTGAAAATGTAACTAGTAGTTAGCAAATGTTGGTATGTTTCTTACAGTCGGTGTAAGGTAACTGCAATAGATACCATCCCACTGTGGAGTTTCCGGAAATGAAAGAGCTGATAAACTAGCTAAGGAAGGTGAGAATGAAGAACAACCTGACATCCAGTCTCTTATCAACAAAAGAAGAGAATAATCAAATCAACCAGAAAGCCACCAAAACCGGCACAAGACGATTACCATTTTATGGACAGACCAGAGCAAGTTATTATTCTATGTCTTAGAACAGGACACAATCGACTGCGCAGCCACATGTACACAAAATTTAAAATCAGCGAATCAGATATGTGCACGTGTGGATTGGCACCCGAGACAACAGATCATGTCCTCCAAGACTATCCCAAATACAACATATTAAGGCAAAACGTTTGGCAAAGAAAAACATTGGTGCAAGTTAAACTTGACCGGTCGCTGAGCAAATTACAAAAGACAGTGAAATTCATACTAAAGACAAAATTGCAGATATAGATATTGTATTTCAAGCAAACGAAAGAAGAAGAAAAAGAAGTATCTTTCTTGCTTTTAGCATTATAAAAGTTGTATCTTGTACTGGGCAACACTGCTCAATCCGGACCCCAACTTGCACATTTGTTTTATCTGTTGTGTAGTCAGTTGAGTTTGAGTACTTAAGTACCGTTGAAAACTGAAGTAAATAATTCACAGCCTGTTATTGGTGGTCTGTAAACAAATAGCCATGCTGAAGTTTAAAACAAAAACTTAGTTGTTCATCAGGATGTTGCAGCACCAAACCCAGCATTTGTTGGCTGTTTTTAGTTTTACTAGGCAGTTTTACATTCAGTAGTTTGTCATTGCTTTCTGAGTGTGTGGCTGTTGATAACTGTCAAGAACTATAGCAAAACAGTTTGCTCCCAAATTGCCTACAGCTGGAATCAAACTGGGTACCTCAGAATTATGAAGCATGTTCATATTGTCTAAACCACAGGCGCCGATGCTGGAATTTAGCCGAGGGGAAAGTGGGAGCATAGTAAATGACTGCACAGGGGTGTCATACATCATAAATATGGTCCTATCTATGCAATTTTTCAGTGTCTTAGGCATTAGTGAACGCGCTCCATAATGCCAGGGTGCTGGGTTCGATCCCAGCTGCAGGTAATTTGACAGCAGCGTCTTGCGTTGGTTTTGACCGTGGTAACGAGAGCTGACCTTTCAGAATCAGTGCCAAACTACTGAAGGTAAAATTTGCCTTGAAAAATCACAACAGCCAAAAAATGCTGAGGTTGGTTCTGCTGCATACCTGTAAAGGATGTGCAACTAACTGTGTGAACTATAAATAGCATGTCAGGATGATGATGACAGAAAGTAAGCTACAGGATGATGATGATGACAGAAAGTAAGCTACAGGATTATAATGATGACAGAAAGTAAGCTACAGGATGATGATGACAGAAAGTAAGCTACAGGATGATGATGATGACAGAAAGTAAGCTACAGGATTATGAAGATGACAGAAAGTAAGCTACATGATGATGATGACATAAAGTAAGCTACAGGATGATGGTGATGACATAAAGTAAGCTACAGGATGATGGTGATGACAGAAAGTAAGCTACAGGATGATGGTAATGACTGAAAGTAAGTTACAGGATGATGATAATGACAGACAGTGAGCTACAGGATGATGATGACAGAAAGTAAGCTACAGGATGATGATGATGACAGAAAGTGAGCTACAGGATGATGATGACAGAAAGTAAGCTACAGGATGATGATGATGACAGAAAGAAGCTACAGGATGATGGTGATGACAGAAAGTAAGCTACAGGATGATGATGACAGAAAGTAAGCTACAGGATGATGATGACAGAAAGTAAGCTACAGGATGATAATGACAGAAAGTGAGCTACAGGATGATGATGACAGAAAGTGAGCTACAGGATGATGATGATGGAAAGTAAGCTACAGGATGATGATGATGACAGAAAGTAAGCTACAGGATGATAATGACAGAAAGTGAGCTACAGGATGATGATGACAGAGAGTAAGCTACAGGATGATGATGATGACAGAAAGTAAGCTACAGGATTATGGTGATGACAGAAAGTAAGTCACAGGATGATGATGACAGAAAGTAAGCTACAGGATGATGATGATGATGGAAAGTAAGCTACAGGATGATGATGTTGACAGAAAGTAAGCTACAGGATGATGATGATGATGACGGAAAGTAAGCTACAAGATGATGTTGATGATGACGGAAAGTAAGCTACAGGATGATGATGTTGACAGAAAGTAAGCTACAGGATGATGATGATGACAGAAAGTAAGCTACAGGATGATGATGACAGAAAGTAAGCTACAGGATGGTGATGACAGAAAGTAAGCTACAGGATGACGATGACAGAAAGTAAGCTACAGGATGAAGATGACAGAAAGTAAGCTACAGAATGATGATGACAGAAAGTAAGCTACAGGATAATGATGACAGAATGTGAGCTACAGGATGTAAAAACGAACAAAATAATATCACTGTAAGTCTGAGAAACAGAATTGTTGAAACAGGAAGTGAGTGGCAAGAGGTCTTGAGAAACTGTGCTATATAAGTGTGGAGTAATTTTGAAAACAACCAGATAAAGGGATTATTTGTTTGTTATCACTAGCCAATAGTCTGTATTCCAACTTAACAGGCTCAGGCCTGTGTCATGGAGAGGTTACACAAGCATCGCTTAATTAACAGCTGCAACACAGCAAGGGAAGTAGCTGTAACCAGTTATAAGCCTGTGCTCAGTTGGAGTAGAGCAAGGCGCAAGGGGTTGCTTCTGACGGTGGAAGAGATCATCATAATTTCATTGGACAGCTACCACCTGCCTCAGCTGGGCTGCTACCAGTCAGTAAGATGCTGTCTCACTATGGTCCGTTTGCCTTTGCTGGGAGCACAGGGCTTAGGGGACCTGTTGTTTTTGAATCACTAATCATCTTTACAATGTACAGAAATGTTTTTGGTGCTTTATTAATAACCTACCCCAGACAGGGGAAATCCACAGGTCATGGGACAGCCTAATATTTCAGGGGGTGGTAGATTGGTTTGCATGCAGTCATGGGACCTAGGCTGCATGCAGTCATTGGACCTAGGCTGCACTCTCTTATGGGACGTAGGTGGGATGGGGTTAGGGCCAGTTCTAGATGTTTTGGGGTCGTTAAAAGCATCAGAAAGCCGGGAAACCCAGTCTTACCACCCTCTAAAATGTTGGACTATCCTGTGACGTCATCTGGGGTAGGATATTAATATAAAGCACCATTTTTTTTTTTCCAGGAAAGTTTGACTACATTGGTTCAAGCCATCAACTGTGGCACTTTCTCATTGTGCTAGCTTTCTGTTACTGGCATCAGGCTGGAGAAGAAATCCTTCGTCACAGAATATCAAACAAATGTATAGAGTAGCCGGTGTATAGTCTTAGTTATTGTAATTAATCAGTCACTGAATTATAATTATTGCTGATTTTGTCAAATATAATCATCATTATTTAGCAGGACCTTTGCACAAAATCACTTCCATTATTAAAAAGACCCATCAAATTCCTCTACCTCATGTTATTTCCTGTTTAAGCTGCCTCTAAAGGATGTTTCTTGGGATGAGTATTATAGTTCCCTCGAAGTCGGAGTACATTTGCCCAAAGGGCAGGGAACGGCAAAAGCCAGTAAAATGGTTGTACACGCAAAACTCAGGTCCAGGTAAAAGCCAAAAGTCCAAGCAGACGAATAACCGTGACCTTCCGCTGGAATTCACAGCGAAGAAGAAGAAGAAGTATTATAGTAGTTTCCCCTTTGCTTTTAACCTCCACATTCCTTCGAAGTGCAAATGCCTGCGAGGCAAAGAGCCGACAGTCTGTATACACATAAACCAGACCTGTAAAAATTGAGAGGCACACAAAACTCAAATTATGGAACAAGATGAAAGTCCAGGAGTGGCCACCAGAACTTTCTACCAGATTTTGCAGCAGATAAATCTCAAACATAAGTCGAAGCAAAGCATGTACATTGGTAAGCTAGAGTATAAGTCAATAAAAATGGCCACTGCTTTTGAAGAAAGAATAAAAATCACACACCCCTTTGCAAATATAGCTGTATGGTTATAAAGTAGTAGGGCCTGTTACATACAATATTATAAAAATATTGGATTGGCTCTATTCTTAACCCCCCCCCCCCCCCCCCCCCCCCCCCCAACTTTTTTTCCCTTCAGAATTCTTAAATGACATTTAAAGGTGAGAGGATTGACTTGACTGCACTGGATTTGATCCCAGCTGCCGACCGACGTCGCACAAAACACAAACTCTGTATATTCAGCTGGGATTTCCGTAAAAATTGCATATGTGAAATTAATAACACAGTCCATGAAATGACCACATAACCTTCAAAATGTGAGGCAAATGGCTTAACTGTAAATCCACTGAGACTCCTAGCTGGAGTGAACTCTGGTATGTGCTTTGTAATTCCGTCATGCCATGTTCCATTTAGCCACAGGTAATTTGACAGCAGACCGCTTTATGTTGATTTTAACAATGGTATAAGCATCAGCCATTTAGTAAGCAACAGTAAACTGCTGAAAGTAAAACTGCCTAGTAAAACTGGGTTTCGTTTGTGAAATCCCATAAAGTATATGCAGCTAACTTTTTAAAGGTCATAACAGTAATTGATCTGATACGAAACTTAATGGCCTTTAACATAAAAGACCAGTTACACAACACTAAATGTGAGCCATCTCATTGCCGTTGTGTGTTATCATTTTGTCACCTGCAACAGACCATTTCACTGGTTATCCTGGGAATGATTAGTGAATAAATTGAATGTGCACAAGAATTGATGTTTTTTCTTGTTTCAAAACATTAATTATTTGAATTCAGTATCTTGCCTTTGGCACTTTGTGCTATTTTGAACTTCTCTTTTATATATATATATGTTTGTGTGCACGAGTGCGTACATTTGTTTGTTTGTGTTTACTCATCAAAAGTCAAAGGCTACTTAGAAAAACCTTGGTTAATGCCATAAAAGAAATTTGATATAAACGTAAGTAATATAAGTGAATACTGCATTTATTGAATACCAAATTGACATGTCATGCACAGAAAGGAACCAAACATCAAACACAAAAGAAGCTGTGAAATGTTCCACCAGCCTTTTCAAAAGTCAACACAATATATTTGACAACTAGACATTTCAAAATCGGGAATGACCACCATTTGAAGCAAGGCATTCAACACAAGCTGATGAATTGACTCTACAAGGGTCTGAAGACTATCCTGAAGAACAGCTTGCCATTCCTCAAGCAGAAATGCAGTCAGCTGTGCAACATCCATTGGCAGGGGGTGATTTGTAAACAGTCTTCTACCAAGGACATCCCAGATGTGTTTACTCTGACAAAGGCCAGGTGAATGAGCTGGCCGTGCCTTCCTGATGATCTCATGTTTCTGAATGAAGGCATTCACCACACAAGCTCAGAGGGGTCAAGAGTTATCATCTTGGAGGATAGTATTAAGTAAAGTAAAGGAAAGGAACCTTGTCCACGCCATCAGGCATATAGGGCTAGACCTATATTTTATAGACCAATCGGCACAAGATGGGTGATGTTGACAGCATCACGCCGGCCGCCTTTACTTTTCCGGGACTGCACCCGGTACCCACTCAAGGCTGGGTCGACCTGGGAGCCAAGGTCATTTTTGAAAAAAGTCCGGCTCCGCCAGGGAGCAAACCTTCTGATCCGTGACGAGTGTCTAGCCGCTCGGCCACGGCGACTCTCGAGGATAGTATTACCACCTATGATCTCCAGAGCATGGTGAACAGTTGATCTCAAGACTGTGTTCTGGTATCTTGGGCTGGTCAAGTTTCCTTGGATGATGTAGAGTTGGGTCTTGCCATGTCTGTAGAAGCCTTCCCAGACATGACAGAACCCCTGTCATAACCATCCACCTCTCGGATTGTATCATCAGTAAATTGCTCTCCTGGTCGTCTACAAACTCACAACCTGCTATCGTTGAATAACACAGTAAAGCATAATTTATCAGTGAACAGGACTTTACTCCGTTGTTGCCTTGTCCATTGGATGAGCTCGTGACACCAATCAGCATTTGGCTCTGCAATGAGCAGGAGTCAAAGTGATTCTGACTGCAGGATGTCGTGTAGTCAGTCCAAATTAATGACATCGATGAATGATGAATTGACAGACATTAATGTTTACAGTTAGTCTGAGCTGACATCTTAGAGGGAAAAAGTCACTGTATTATGGCATCAGGCTGAAAACAAGAGGTAACGGTCGTTATGTCTATTGATGCATCGATGGTGACCTGGCCAGTGGCAATCCTCCACACTTCCTTTGGCATGGAATCTCCTAAATGTTTTGGATAGTAGAGTTTGAAAAACGCATGCCATCTAGCAAATACACGGATAGATAAACCACTTTCAACCCACGCTAGAGCCTTCATTCTTTGTAAAATGTCAAGGCTTTTTCTTGATGGCATGGTTTTTTTTGCAAGCAGTGAAACAGCCCTAAGTCTCCTGATTGTTAAACCAATTCAGAGGGAACTCTGTTTTGGAACAGTACCTTGCACATGAAATTTCGATCAGCTTGATCAGTTTACCTGTTTGATTGTATGGAATTTCAGAAGTTTGAAAAAAAATTCAAAATATGAATTTATGGTCTGCAAGACAAATTGCACGTGATCACCATGGTCGTCAGTGAGTTGTTCTCATGCTTCACATGCATAGAGGACTCATAGGAAGATATTGCACCCATTTTTAAAAAAAATAACAACTGTCTATTAAACATTCTATGCTCTTATATAAATGTACTGAAAATAATAGGATGACCCACTGTTGATGAGTAGTTTATAGACGTGTATGTATGCATAAATATCTGTGTGTGTTTGTGTGTGTGTGGGTGGGGCTAGGTGGCAAAGTTGGTTAAAATAGACTGTGTATAGAAGACACTTTGAGCATTAAAATAAAAAGTTCATAAAAGCCACTTTCATGATCAAAATTGAAAGTTTATGAATGCCACTTACAGGATCAAAATAGAAAGTGTTTGAATATCATGTTGAAGATCACAATTAAAAGTTTGTGAATGTCATGCTCAAGATCAAAATAGAAAATGTATTAATTATTTCACTTAGTGGCCTAGAAAAAAATGCCAGTGATCCATATTTCTGGAATTCCCAGAAATGTTTTTTTACATAAAAAAAAAAAAGTCTTAACAGTTCCATTTATGGGACAAGATGGTGAAAGCCACTTTCTGGGTAGATTTTGAAAGTATGTGAAAGCCACTTTATGGGTAGATTTTGTAAGTATGTGAAAGCCACTTTATGGGTAGTTTTTGAAAGTATATGAAAGCCACTTTCAGGACCAAAATTGAAATAGCAGGAATGCCAGTGTTAGGATCAAGAATGAAGCCACTTTCTTGATGAAAATAGAATGTTTACCACTTTTTAGATCATAACTGAAAATTGTGTGAATATTACTTTTAGGGATATATGCTGAGAAGGAGTATGTAATTATTTTGTTGTTGAAAACAAAAATACTGAAAATGTCCTCTAGCAGACTGGTAGTGTCAGAATTTCTACCTCCTTAATGTTGCATGTAATTTCAGAAATAGTGTGGATGTATGTGTGCGGCTGTGTGTTTGAGTTGGATGGGGACTGTATGATAAATTACTCTCCTAGTTGAATATGTTAGTATTGTGGGGATGAACTTGTAAAGCTGCCTGATATGGATATTGCCACATATGTACCCGTATATTCTCCCAACATTTGCTCTGTTAGAAAATAAAACTGAGAAAAACACCATGCACAAAATTAATTGAGAAACAGAAGATCAGATGGTTTGGTCATCTCATTTGAAGAACGATTTGTCATGAAACATTTTGGAGATTATTTGTTTTCTCTCGGATATCTGGGTGCGTTGAACTTTAAAGCACTATGTCATCAACTAAGTCAAGGTCTTCTAGAATTTTGTCAACCCCTTTGATACCCATATTTGTGTTGTTTGTGCATTTGCCATGACCCAATTGATTGCTTTTCCAGAGAGCATCTGTGATAAGACACAGCCTTGTTTCGCTCCTGTTTCCACTGGTAACCAGTCAGTTGCCGAATTCTATTCTTACACTGTGATGTGTTTCATTGTAGAAGGATTTTATGACATTGATGAATTTGGTAGGGAAACCATACCTGACTGATATTAGAAAACTGAATTTCGTATTTTAGTTTTTATACTTCCTGGTTGTTTCTCGTATTTTTACACTACACTGTATGACTCGATCACATGTATGTGCATAACTCACTAACACGTGATATCTTTTCAATTTTATCCTGTTTTCCACAACTCAGTTTCAATAAGAAGTGAAAAATGTTTTAGTTGTTATACAACTTCTTGGGTCCTTCCAAACTTTATTGCTT